AGGCTAAGCACCCATCTGTGCTAGGCCTTACCCTTTACCCTTTGCTAGACCCGCCTAGATCAGCTTTAGCAAAAATGCTTTTATGGCAGTTTAGCGAGTGTATCATCTCTCCTGTCTTGATATCTGAACTTTCAATCTTGACATCAGCAACGTTAACTCAGTCTTAGCAGAAATCTGCCGTCCCCTTGATGTCCTCTACTTGATAACTAACTCCTCAGGTGTCTTTGTTATATTTGAAATTGAGCCCAGTTCTATACTGAAATTTCTTTTTCTCTAGTAGTTCCAAAACAAAAGTTATTCTGGCCTCTTGCATTATTATCTCACTCTAGTGTTATCTTACAATATGAAAAACCATATATATATATATACATATATATATGTATATATCTTGTCATCCTGATAGGCACATACTAATGATAATATAAATTAGTATAAGTTCTAAAGGTAATTGCACATGATTCTCTCTATATAAAGATTTCCACAGCATTATTTATGGAAAAAATCTGAATATTCATATGTATGTATGTATATATGTTATAGTATGCAAATTAATACATTCATTTGTAGAAAATACAGCTCATGAAGTATTTATGAAGAGTTACAATATCCAATAGCATTCTTATGAAACTATGACTATGGAAAAATGATACAATATGCATAAAATTATGGCCTCAATGAAATCTCTGAATGTGCAGATTGTATTTCTTTAAAACACACAGATGTGTGTTCAAATGCACATACACATATGACTGAAAAAACAGCAGTATGTTAGAGAATCTTGCTGGGTATGGTAGCTCACGCCTTTAATCCCAGTACTGGGGAGGTAGAGGTGGGTGGAACTCTGTGAGTTTGACACCAGCCTGGTCTGTTTAGTAAGTTCCAGGACAACCAGGGCTACAGACTAGAGAGACCCTGTCTCAAAACAAACATTAGAGGCCAGGTGTGGTAGCTCACTCCTGTAATCTCGGCACTTGAGAGGCTGAGGCCAGAGGATCACAAAGTTGAGGACAGCCTAAGCTAGAGAGTAAGACCTTGCATCAAACGGCGAACCCCCAAAGCCAGAATTCCTGGTTATAAAGATGAACTACCCAACTTGAAATGGTGCTTATTAAAGGAAAGTCTCTAGGGCAGTGGTTCTCAATCTTTCTAATGCTGCACTGTTGAGGTGACCCCCAACCATATAATTATTATTTTTTTAATTTTGCAATACAGTTCAGTTCTACATATCAGCCACGGATTCCCTCGTTCTCCCCCCTGCCGCCCCCCTCACCTTCCCCCCAGCCCGCCCCTCATTCCCACCTCCAGGGCAAAGCCTCCCCCTCGGACTGAGATCAACCTGGTAGACTCAGTCCAGGCAGGTCCAGTCCCCTCCTCCCAGGCCGAGCCAAGCGACCCTGCATAGGCCCCAGGCTTCAAGCAGCCAACTCATGCAATGAGCACAGGACCCGGTCCCACTGCCTGGATGCCTCCCAAACAGATCAAGCCAATCAACTGGCAATGGTCGAGAGACAGCCCGAACTGAACTACTCTGGTGATGGGATGGCCAAACACCCTAATTGTCGTGCTAGAAACCCCATCCAACGACTGAGGGATCTGGATGCAGAGATCCATGGCTAGGCCCCAGGTGGAGCTCTGGGAGTCCAAATAGTGAGAAAGAGGAGGGTTTATATGAGCAAAAATTGTTGAGACCAAGGTTGGATAAAGCACAGGGACAAATAGCCAAACGACTGGAAACACACGAACTATGAACCAATGGCTGAGGGGTCCCCAACATATAATTATTTTTATTGCTGCTTCCTAACTAACTTTGCTACTGTTATGAATCATAATGTAAACATACGTGTGTCCTGATGGTTTTAGGTGACCCCTGTGAAAGGATCATCTGACTCGAGGGGGGGTGGTCACAACCCATAGGTTGAGAACCAGCATGCTGGAGGCTTTTGAAGCCTAGGTGTTTCCAGAATCTAATTAGAGAGGGCAAGAGTATAGTGGGTCCTATGTCATTTCTCCTCTACCCTCTCATGCGGGGACAGTCATGATACAGGGGGTACCAGTATCCTTTTATCTGTGTACAGGTTTATCACGCTGTGTCTGTGTGTTAATGTGGGTATGACTCCAAAAATAGTGTTTCTTTTCTTATTTCAAAATGTAGTATATCTGCACTGTTAAAAATAAAAATACTGAAAATCTGAAACAGAATTTCCTGAAAGCCAGGCAGGCGGTGGTGGTGCAGGCCTTTAATCCCAGCACTCAGGAGGCAGAGCCAGGCGGATTTCTGTGAGTTCGAGGCCAGCCTGGGCTACAGAGTGAAATCCAGGACAGGCACCAAAACTACAGAGGGGAAACCCTGTCTCGAAAAACCAAAAAAAAAAAAAAAAAAAAAAAAAAAAAAAAAAAAAAAAAAGACTGAAGTCAAGGAGTGGAGGGAACCCGACCCCCACCTTCCACCCTCTTCGTACCCCCCACAACCCCGTAAACCTTCCGAGAACTGCAAGCACTCATTTCCGCTCTTCTGTGGTAAACCACGTCTTGGCTTCAGCTGCAGAAACGCAATGTGACTAGAGAAGGTGGGGGTGGGGCCTGAGGGGTTAAGTTGCTCTGAATAGTAACTAAGAAAATGGCCTCGGATGGCACTTTCCTTTTTGAAGATTAGTTCTAGGAGACTGGAGAAAATGCCAGTTGAGCATTTCGGTATTGTGCTTGCTAGGTTTTTGTCAACTTGACACAAATGGCAGTCACCAGGGAAGAGAACCTCGAGTAAAGAATTACACCCACCAGACTGGCCTGTTGGCAAGTCCGTGGGGCATAGTTTTGATTCATAATTGACAGGGGAGGGTCCAGCCCACCGTGGGCGGTGCCAACCCCTAGGCAGATGGTCCTGGGGACAGTTAAGAAAGTGAGCTGAGCAAGCCTGTAAGCAGTAGTTCTTCTCAGTTTCTGCTTCGGTTCCTGCCTCCAGGTTAGTGCTGGAGTTCCTGCCCCGACTTCCCTCACTGATTGGGTGTGGTGTGGAGTTATGAACCCTTTCCCTCCCCCAAGCTGTGCCGCCCCATGTTTGAGCACATTAACGGAAAGAAAAGTAGGGCAAATTTCAAGATAATAACATTCACTCTTGGGAACTGTGTGTGTGTGTGTGTGTGTGTGTGTGTGTGTGTGCGCGCGCGCGCACGCAACGAGGGTGCTCAAGCAACCACTAAATTTGCTCACGTGGTGGGTTATGTTTCTTGTTCTATGTTCAAAACCCAGACAGTGTAGCTAACAGACCCCAAGGATGGAAAGTAAGCTACAAGGAAGAGCCTACTCACTGCTAATGATTAGCACAGCTATCCAAATGTTGCTTCTGCGCCTCAGCCAAGAAAATGCTTAGTCTGTATGGATAGAATGGAATGCTACCAGAAACAGAGTAGCCTAGACAGAATTTGAGATTATACGGGTCTAGCAAGGCCATTTGCTTAGATAGCAATAGCAATGCTGCTATACATTTCCTATCTTTTACTTAATCCTCACCTATCTGACTCTAGACTCAGAAAAAATAAAACAAACACCAAAAAAACCTACTGCTAGATCAGTGGTTCTCAACCTGTGGGTCGTGACCCCTTTTGGCAACCCTCTATCTCCCAAAATATTTACATTACAATTCATGACAGGTATCAAAATTACAGTTCTGGTGTAGCAATGAAAATGATTTTATGGTTGGGGGTTCACAGCATGAGGAACTGTATTAAAGGGTGGCAGCATTAGGAAGGTGTGCTAAGTGAAAGCTGTTATCTCTGCCCTTCCCATGTATCCTCTCCCGTTGACCCCCCACCTTTCTGTGCACCCCGTTCAGGTCAACAGGCTGTACTGTAATTGCTCTTAACCTCATCTCATAGCTCCTTTCATGGTTAGACCCATAATTGTTTATAGCAGCTTTATATCATTAACCCTAATACACACATCGGGAGTTTAATGTATTGAATTAAGGTTTGTTTGATCTTCCCAAACCTCTATGATCAAGGAGACAGAAATATCCCCCATCAGCCTCACTTAATAGGTTTCTAAGAGTATGCTAAGCTGTTCAAGGTCTCACAGCTAGTTGCGGGGCACAAACAGAAATGAAACTATAACACCCCGCCACACCCTTCTCCCTCCCTCCAAGCATGCCTGGGCGTGTGCATCACACAATTCAACCTTTGAATTTTGCATAAAGTCATGATGCTAACCAGACACAATAGTCCCCTCTTGCTTCAGTCACTCGTGGTCAACCACCATCTAAAAATATTACATAGAAAATTCTAGAATCAAACAATTCATAGGTTTTAAGTTGGGCACTGTTCTGAAGAATGTGGTGAAATTTTGTGCCTCGGCAAATTATTCTGTACTGAAAGTCACCCCACCTTTGTTCAGAACATAGTATATACATACTGTGGTTTTGGTCACTGGTCATTGGTCACTTAGTAACTTAGTAACAGTTTATTTTTTTTCAGATAAACTTTAAGTATTGCTGTCCATGTCCTAGAAACCTTTATTTTACTTAATAATGGCCCCACTGCATACAGGGGTGATTCTGGCAAGTTTATCAGTAAGTACCCTTGACTGTTTACGTTGATTCTTGTTAGTGTTATCTCCTACTGTGCATAAGCTGTAACTTCAACTTTACCATGATGTGTAGGAAAGTAGTCTGTACAGAGCACTCATTCAGACACTCACTGATAGAGCAGGGACCATTGTATTCCCAGCACAGTTTGCACATAGGAGTCCAACAAAAAGGTTTTACAAAAACATTTGCAAGCCTTTTGGGGGAGAGGTGAGATGGTCATCTTGGCTGACAAATTGACTCCATCTGGAATCAACAAAAACCCAAGCAGTTGGGCACTCCAGGGAGGTATTTTTTAATCAAATCAGTTGAAGTAGGACAACTCACCCTAAACCTGAGCCACGCCTTCTCATAGCAGCTTACATAAAAGGACCTGAAAGAACGCTGCTTTTTGCCTGCTTGCCCACCGTCTTGCTGGTAAGTTCTCTCATTTCCTGTTGCTGTGGTTGATGTTAAACTCAGCCGCTTCAAGACTGTAGACAGAAGACCAGCAGCTCTTTGGGAATAAAATCCAGGGCTCCCACTCCATATTTGACTGCTGAGACATCCTGCCTCGGAGACTGAACAACTACCAGATTCTCAGGCTTCCTGGCAAGAGACAACCATAGTGGGACCCCTCAGGCCACATCCTCTAAGCCAGTCTAATGAATCCCCTTTTAATACATGCCTTCTGTCATGTCTGTTCCTTTAGAGAGGCCTGACTAATACAGGACTTATTTCTGAAGACCACAGAAGTTCCTTTGGGACCATCTCCCATCTCAAAGCCTAACAATCTGTGTTCTATAGCGCTGACAAGGCAGGGTTAAGAGAAAAATGAGCTGCAAGCCATATATGGAGAAACCCAGTGTGGAAGTTTCATAACAACTTCACGTTCTGCTTCCAGGCTTCTCAAGCTGACGCTGACTGCACTTTGCAAAGCTGGCCATAAAGAAGCAGAGGGCTGAAGACGTCGTTCAGTGGCAGAGCCCATGCCTAGCCCAAGCGACCCTGGGTTCAACCTCCAGCACAGGAAGAAGGAAAAAAAAAGTCTGAACGCTGAGAGAACCAAGCATCCTGTCAGAACGCCGGGGTTCTGGGTTCTAGGTCCATCTGCAGCCAGAGGGATCATGCAGGCCCTCCTTGCCGTGATAGCCTGGATGGCTTCTTCCGTTTCTAGTGCTTCATATACAGCAAGTACTTTGCCAGATATAGCAGATGAGGACTTCATCAAAAAATGTGTTCAAATTCACAACCAGTTCCGGTCAAAAGTGAATCCAACAGCCAGGAATATGCTGTACATGGTGAGTGTACCAGCATTATTTGTAGCACATGTCAGTCAGAAGCAGCTTGTCTGCCGCATTAAGCTGGGTGTGAATTCTGGGTCATTCTGAATGGTTTTTTTGTTTTGCTTGTAATGACTGTGTGCGTGTGATCAGAACCCACTTTCCTGGACTCTGTCTTAAGCAATGCCCCAGCCATGATTCGATTCTTTCAGCACACTTCCCTCCCCCAGCCATGAGATGTCTCCTCATTGTCACTTTATTTCCTGTTAATATTTGTGAGGTTTCATTTTGTGTCTTAAGGTTTCATTTTTTTATCATCAAGTTCTGTATAAAATAACTGGATTTCGTTATGATAACTTCATACAATGTGCTTTGATTATACTCATCACATTGCCCTTTTGGCCTTTTGGTCCTCTGATCGCATTCCTCTTTCACTTCTGTGTGGTCTTTGTTTTTCTCTAGACTCCACATATAAGAGGGATATGGTACTTACCCTTCAGAGTCTGCTTTATTTTACTTAACATGATGATCTCCAATCCATCCACACCCTTTCCTGCAAATGTTTCTGTGACTCAATGATACTCCACAGTATGTGTATATAAACACATACATATACACACACACATTTTTCTTATCCCTTCATCTATTTGTGAACAATTAGATGTAATCTGTAGCTTGGATATTGTAAATAGTGCCACAATAAACCTGGATATACAGATATCTCTGAAGTGTGCTGACTCCAATTCCTGGAGATCTATGCCTGAAAATGTTATAGCTGAATCACATGATAGTCTTACATTTATATTTTTTGGTGAACCTATATACGGATTTTCATAGTGGCTGAACTAGTTTATGTTCCTATCAGCAGTATATTAGGGTTTCTTCTCCACCCACGTCTCTGATGCCATTTATTTTTTTAATTGGATATTATCCAGACTAAGGTAAGATGTGATCTTCGTGTTCTTTCTTTTTGTATCCTAATGGCTAAGGATGTTGAGCTGTGCTATTTTTGAGGACTCTGTTCAGTTCAGTGGTCCATTGGTCAGTTGTTGGCTTTTTCATTCTGTTAGTGTTTAACACGTTGAGTCCTTTATACATTTTGGACATTAATCTGTTGGTGGATGAGTATCTGAAAAATATTTTCTTTTATCTTTTTGAGATACAGTCTCACCAATCCTGGCTAGCCTGGGAACTTGATATGTAGATGAGGCTGGCCTCGAACTCTCTGCATCCCACCCTCAGAGTTGTAATTAAAGGCATGGACCATCACACCCAATTTCTCTCCCATTCTTGAGGTGGTCACTTCACTCTGGCAATGCCTCCGCTGTGCCCATGGTTTTTAATTGATGCGGTCTCACTTGTCAGGACTATTGTTACTTACCATTACTTCCTGAGCTACCAAAGCCCTATTCAGAAAATTACTGCCTATGCCTCATATATTGAAATCTTAGCCAAAGCAATCGGTCAAAAGAGAAAGAAAGAAAAGCTGCAGATAGAAAAAGAGGAAGCGAAATGGAGACATTGGCTGTGGCAGTTTCGGGTCTCATATTAAGGTTTGTAATACGTTCTAATTTTTTTACACACTGTAAGAACCCGGTTTTGGACATGTGCGCATGCATATCCAGTTTCTCCGGCATCATTTGTCTAGCGCCCTCCTCTGTTCGGCTCCTTTCTGACCGCACTTCATATTTTTGAAGTCCAGATGGACAATTCCTCTAGCGCTGTTATTTTTGCTCCGACATCCTTTGGCGTATGGAGTCCTTTGTGTTTCTGTGTTCATTTTCTGGTTTTTTTTTTTCTAGCTTTAAGGGATAAAGCATTAGCAGCGAAGTAAATCTATAAACATCTTTCAGCTGTATTGCTGTTTGAAAATATCCAACTCCATGAGCATGAACAGCCTTCCCGTTCTCTAGAGCAGTGGTTCTCAACCTTCCTAATGCTGTGACCCTTTAATACACTTCTTCATGTTGGAGTGACTCTTAACCATGAAATATTATTATTATTATTATTATTATTATTATTATTATTATTATTATTATTATTTTGGTTTTTTGTTTTTTCGAGACAGGGTTTCTCTGTGTAGTTTTGGTATCTGTCCTGGATCTCGCTCTGTAGACCAGGCTGGCCTCGAACTCAGAGATCCATCAGGCTCTGCCTCCCGAGTGCTGGGATTAAAGGCGTATGCCACCACCGCTCGGCCCCATAAGATGGTTTTTGTTGCTACTTCATAACTGTAATTTTGCTACTACCATGAATCGTAATGTAAATATCTGATATGCGGGATATCTGATCTGCAACCCCTGCGAAAGGGTCATTCATCCCCCAAAGGGGTCTCGACCCACAGGTTGAGAACCACTGCTCCAGTGTTCTCTTCAATGTTTGGTTTTCATTGGAGAGGTATTTCACCCCCCTTGGTAAGGTTTATTCCTACATATGTTATTGTTGGAGGACTATGAGAATGGAGCTCTTCTGGGGGGGGGGTGTGCGCGCTTAAGCACGTTCACTACTTTGTACAGAAGCAACCACGTGTTACATGCTGATCTTCATTGCCCTAAAGCTGCCATGTGTTGCCTGCTGATCTTTATTTACCCTGCTCCTTCACTGGACTTGTTCACTTCTTAGGGCGTCTCGTGATAAGTCTCTATCACCTGCAGCCAGAGATGTTTCTGCTTCTCCTCTCCTGGTCATATTCTCTGACCTGATGACTTCGTAGTCTCGCCCTCACCCTCACTAGCAGGTTGAGACTAGTTAGTTATTGCTGTAGGCTGTGGTTCCTCCTCAATTCTTGTCATCCCACCTCACTTGCCCCTTAGGCTCCCACTCCAGAAGGAACTGGAATCTGGTAGCACAGTAAGTAGTAAGCCAGTCCCCACTGGTCTACAGATCTGAATGAACAGGGGGGAAAGCCTTGTGTTGCTACAGTTTTGAGGAAGAGATTTCTTTCTTGACTTTTATGTTGTTTATTTTTCAGTCTTGGGACCCAGCACTAGCCCGGATTGCAAAAGCATGGGCAAAATCTTGTCGATTTGCACACAACCCACAGCTGAAATCACGGCTGCACCCAAACTTCACCGTAGTGGGGGAAAATATCTGGACTGGATCTTTATTCCTCTTTTCGGCGTCTTCAGCCATCTCAGACTGGTACAACGAAATCAAGGACTATGACTTCAGCACTAGGAGATGCACAAATGTCTGTGGCCATTACACTCAGGTAAATACTTCCCTGTAATCACTTGGAATCACCTTTTTAAAGGTGAAGAGAGAACTGAACTTGGTGTTGAGGAAATATATAGTGAGCTAGTATGATTATAAATATGAGAGAAAAATGTACTTGGAGACACTAGTTACATGGATAAAGTCATACAAGAGCCATCCGTCTAGGTAGTATTACTCATATGAGATAACCTGCATACATTATATTAGTTAAAGCCTTGCAATGTAAATGAGAAGTGAATTGGAACTCTCTTCTCACTAGCTAAGTGGCTTTAGGGAAACATCGTAAACTCTCTTAACTCAATTTGTTGATGTATGGTTGATATATGGATGGTAGAACCTCCCTTCTATGTTTGTGGTAGGAACCAAATGAGCCTTTTGGCTTAGAAAGGTAAACACCGTGCTCGCTTACAGAATGGTTGTCAAGAGTTATATCCTCCCAAACTCAGGAATTTCTGAATATTCTCCCATGATGAGGTCCTCCTTCTGCAGGAGGATAGAACATGGCAGTCTACTGAAGAGGTTAGGACCACGAAATTTGGTCTCATATCTGCATGAGAGATAGATATGATATCAGAAATTAGTTTTCTCATGTTCCAAGTATTAGCCCTCCTTTTTCTTCCTGGATGTAGAGGGGAAACTTAAAAATTGAGGGACATTTCTGCTGTCTCAAGTCTGTGTGACATGAACTTGAATCTCTCCTCTTGTTCTGACTCCCAGGGATCAGGGAGATATAAGTATGGCTAACAAGTCTGTTATAAAGAGAACTGTCTTCTGAGTGCTACATATTTGATGCACACCTCTTGCAGTGTGGAACATCGTGTGAGCCCTTGGCTGTATAGTTTGTGTCCTCTTTGCTCATATGGCTGGTGTCAGTTGCTCTGAATTGTACTAGCCATGCACATGCATGTCTCCCAAAGTTGCACACATGTGTCCCCCAAAATCAGAGGGAGCTAGAGCCAGAAACCATTTCCAACCATATCCTGCCTTCCTTGCCCGCTCCTGTTTCTCCTTACTCACACCTCTGAGATTGTAAGCCCATCAAGTATCAGCATATAAGCTAATATCTCAGAGTGTGCTGTGGAGAAATCTGGACCAACACTTGTTGGTAAGTACTGAGCAAAGATTAGAGCCCAGGATCTAGTTTTCTAATAAATCATGTTGGAAGAGGATACTGATATATCTTGGCTACAATTCCTGTTTCATCCTTTGAAGAGACCTTGGTGGGGGTTTCAGGACAATTCAGTCACTTCAGCTTCCTGCTGGACAGTTACCTAAAGTGGGGATTGTAACGTCTACTTACCCTGATCTTTTTGAAAATCAAGTTGTTTCCATATGTTGCCCAATGACAGCTGGTACACAGTACAGGGCATACGGTCAGATTGATTATCTGTGGACAGTCAATATTTCTTGGCATGTTAATTCAACACTTTACCTTTATGTTCACTGGGGACAGACTGGCAAGTTTTCATTTTTGTTTAGAGGATTCACTGGTGGGAAAGTTCCAGATTAAATTTGGATCTGAGTTCATATTCCCACCCTGACACTGTGTAACCCCAGCTTGCCTCTTTGACTACTGGGTAAAGATAACAACAGGACAAAGTCTGTAGCCCAGGCTGGCCTGAGATTCAGTGTGTAGCCCAGGTAGGTCTTGATGTCACAGTGAGATTTCTGTTTCAGCTTCCCAAGGGCTGGGGTTAGAGATGGGAGGTGCCATATCCATTTAAACCCAACTTTGAAAACTGTTAGAGTTGAGATCGTCAAGGTCTCCTAAAGGCCTGATGCACTGTTGGGATGTGTCGAAAGCTTTTCTTGGATGGGGTCCAGGCAAAGGAAGATAGGTCATGGGGAAGTCATTTGAAAGGGATATTGGGACTTTATCCTCCACATTACAAGGTGGGACTAGTTTCCATGACCTTCTTCACAGACCTAAAGGCAATGATGACAGATGACCACATACTGGAATCATGACCTAGAACCTGCCTTTCTTCTGATATTTTGCCTCAGTGACTAACAGCTAACGCACCAACTGAAGCATACTGCGCATGCTAAGCAATACCTGCACATTTCTGAAAAAGTACAGGTGGCCCAAAGATGAAGGAAATTTGAAAACACTATGGAAGGAAGTCCTCAAAAATTAAGAGATTAAACAAAATGCTAAGTGAGCTAAGGTGATAGATAGGAATGGTGACATAGAACTCCTGTATGGTGTGGAAGGAGCACCTGACGGGAGCTGTTGAAATACAGCTGAAACGGAGTTGTTTAAGAACACCAATGTTTCTCAATAAGTCTGATGTGGTCAGCCCAGATAAAAATCAGTCCCAAATGAAATGAATAAAATTGAAGTTTCAAAATAAAACAAAGGTGATTGGAAAGTAGAAGTACAAGGGTCACATTGACCCAACAATGTTCAACGTCTCAACAGAGAAGCCCAAGTCGCCTTACTGTCTGTCTAGGCTGGAGATCCCCACATGGAATTCTTGGCTTCAGATACTCAGAGCTGTTCCTCAGGGAGCAATCCTTTTCAGTCATGGAGGAAGAGACTGTTTCTAGCCAAAGGATGGCATGGCTCTTTGTCTCTGAGGTTTAGGAACAACCGATCTAGATTCTTCCCAGCTCCCAAAGCAAGGGAACATCAGTCTGCAAAGGTTAGGTAATCCTACCCACATGTCTACATCCCGTGTCCCACCTGAAAGACCTTAGGCGATCTCAGAGTCCATCCTTGACTTGCTCTTTTTCCCTCCCTCTACTCTCTCCTCGGGGAGTGATAATTTAATTTTCTAAAGTAAACATGCTTTTTTTCCCCACAGCCAGACCGGCCTCTGTTGTAGCTGGTGAATGAGTCTTCTCTACCCTGGGCTCACACAGGACACTGCTTCATGTTTAAAGACAGATTCAAGTCTGTGGCCCTCAGAGAAGCCCCAGCTCAGCCCCTCTTCCTGAGAGAATGGTTCTAAGCCATGTATTAGAACCCTTGATAGTGATCAGAGCTCTGTCAGTTCCATGATTGCCTCTATCTAGATTTCATGAAGGTTCCTGCAGGCCCCAGATCACCCGCCATTGTGCCTACGTATTTAGTACAATGCTTGGCACAAAATGCCTTGATAATTATGGTTTAAAAAAAATCTTAAAGTATAATTTTTGCGTCACTGTAAAAAACAAAACTGTTAAATAGTTGGTTTGACTTCAAGAACTAATTAAGTAGGTTCTCAAATGTTTTCGGTAATCTTTAATACTAATCATTCCTAGTCAAGACGAGCCGCATAACTTATGGGAATCGGTGAAAAATGAAGAGGTGGAATGCTTCTTTGGGAAAGGAAGGAGAAAGCACCATGGAAGGTGCTAAAGATTCAGCAGGCATATTGATTTAAACTGAGTCTGGAGCTCCCCTGAGCACCAGACCCAGTTTGACAGCACAGCTGTCTTCCTGGGAACGAGCTGTGGTCTTCATTTCCCCAACAGTAGGGAGGGACCACATTTTACATCTGCTTTGCTGACTGCTCCTGTATGTATTTTCTTAACCCAGGATTGCAGTTGCCCCTTTCTTTCTATTATCTTTGCCTATATATGGCCTGATACAGCCTTGTGTCTTCCAGGTTGCTATCTCTGATGCTACCCCATCCTCTGAACTGCAGGCAGTTAAGCCCAGCAGCTACGCCAGTCTTTACTGCGATATCTAATCGGCAGCTCAGAACGAACAAGTTCTGCAAAGAACCCCGTGCCCAAGGTCCTACCGACCTTGCTTGTTCCCTAGTTTTCTGTCTTAATAAATGTCCCTTGGGTCCCCAACCCAAGTGCTTCCCACACTCAGGACAAAATCTAATATTTTCAGCCACACCTAGGCATCATGAACTCCATCAGTCTCCAGGAATCCCCTCACTCAAGAGTGAGTCAGCATGTGCTCATTCCTCACACTGCTGAGACAGCCTCCAGAATTGCCTCCCCCTTCCCTTACTCTTCTCAGTTCACTTCATAAGTACCAAGTGGACCTTGCTAAGATGCCCAGAAAGAGTATCTTTCTCACCTAACAGAAATCCTTCAGTCTCCTCTTCTCCCTTCTGCCTCCGTTTTGCCTTTTTTTTCCCCCCTGCCACTCTAACATGTCAAGCAACTTGCACCGCAGGAGCCTTTTTATCTCTGAGGATGGATGTTGTCCATTGTCCAAGTCTTTTGATGTTTATTCTTGGTCTACATCCTCATCACTTGCATCTCAGTTCAAAGGTCACTTCAGAGGTCCTCTCTCAACACCCCCTTTGAATCAGCTGCTTTCTTCCCATTAGACACTCCATCAAGTTACCCCTGTTTTTTCTCACTGTAGTAGCTTTCTGCAGGAAGCATGGCTTTGAGCAGTGGTCCTCAACCTTCCTAAAGCTGCAACCCTTTAGTACGGTTCCTCATGTGGTGGGGACCCCCAATCATAAAATTATTTCATTGCTACTTCATAACTGTAATTTTGCTATTGCTATGAATCATGATGATATTTACATGATATCTGATAAGGCGACCCCAAAAGTGTCATAACCCCAGGTTGAGAACTTCTGGCTTAGAGTAAGCATTGGAGAAACCAGGATTCTTGAGCACACAGGCTTGCTTTCCTTAATGGAAAGAAGAATGACACCTGGTCACCTGGAATGTTTGACTGAAAGTGGGCAAAGAACCAGGGGATCCTTTGCTATTCTATTAGGAGCCAGCCTCCACCTCAATTTCCCCCAGATCCTGAGAATTGTTTAGGCTCTACTCCCGGGCTTTGTGTCTCAGTGAATAGAACTCATCCTTATGAAGGAGGCCCCATGTACTTTGCATCCCCCATCAGTAGAATCCATCTTTATGGTCATTACAAATCCTTTCTCTAGGCCCTGAGCTGTTTATCAGCCAATAGAACTCATTCTTATTGTAAAGGGCACAGGCGCTTTGTTACTGTGCAGGGGAATTTCGATGTAGTCATTCCCGAAGCTTCGTTATGATAACTGTCATGTGGAGACATCCCCCCAGTTTGTCTGTGTTTAAATGTGTAAGAAAATTAAAACAAGGGGTCAGACTCTCTAGAAGTTTTGATCCACTGATTGACCAAGTCTGGCAATAGCGAGTTTTCATTCTCTGGCCATGATACCTGCAGGGGTCCTACAACGTCTTTCCACTCTTATCTTGCCATGTACATGTTTATTTTATACATGCACTCATGCACACATGTATGAGATTATAATTCAGGACTTGTTTCCAGCGGAATTTTTAGCACCCAAAATTTCCCTGGTAAAAAAATGTTGTACAACTAACTATACTAAGGAGTAGCTATTCCTTACCATAATTATGAAGGCTTGATGATGATTAAATGTTCATTTCTGTGGTAAGAAGTTCTCTTATGCTTTCAGGTTGTTTGGGCAGATAGTTACAAGGTTGGCTGTGCAGTGCAATTTTGCCCTAGAGTTTCTAACTTTGAAAGCCTTTCTAATGGAGCACATTTCATATGCAACTATGGACCAGGGTAAGTGCTTGAATTAAATTCTAAAAATATGTTATTACAGGTATTCATCTTTAATATAGAAAATCTATAAAATGTGTAAACAAAAATCCCAAGGCCTCTAAATTCTTTACCCAGAGACTCACTCCATTAATACTCTAATACATTTTTCCTGTGTGTGTGAGAGAGCGTACATGTGCACACACACTTTATTAACACTCTAGAGGCATTCATCTTTAAGAGTAACAAGGTGAAAATGCTTACCAGGGACATAAATTGATATATTAATAGAAGGAAGGAAGATTGATATTAACTTATTGTTTTATTAAGATCATAGCATACTTTCCACACAAAACAAACAAAAAAACTAAGGTGGAATTGCTCAGTTTATATTAATTACTTCATTACTTTTGACAGTTGAATTTTTCAGGTAAAAACAGGTTGTTCCCTCTGGAAATGAGAAAAGCAATTCTACTTCACTGTGCTTGTGAATCATACATAGTCAGAAAACTGTGGTCAGACCAGAAATAGATGTTTTACAGCTTGGTTCCAGTAAGTACGAAAACAGTGATAGATAATACTGAGTCGTTCTATGTGTGAACACTCTGCGTGTTTCAAGTGTTAGATTATTGTTGGTGGTGTCTTTATTGCTTTTGTACAGGATGCATGTTATTTCAATTTTCCCCATGTTTCCTGAGAGTTTCCTTGTGTCCTAATAAGTGGTCAGTTTTGGAGAAAGAACCATGGGCTGCTGAGAAGAATGTGTATTTTTTTTTTAAGTGTTTGGATGTGGTACACTATAAGCATCTGTTATATCCCACTTAACTCCAGGGCTTCTCTATTTAGTTTTTGTCTGTCTGTATGACCTAGGGAGGAGAGTCGGGTATAAAGACACCCATTATCACTGCGTTTGGGCCAATGTGATTTTAGATCTAAACATGTTTCCTTTGTAAAACTGGGTGGTATTTGGGGGTCTAAGTGTTTAGAATTGTAATATCCTCTTGGATTTTCCCCTTAATGAATAGAATCATTCTTCCCTATCCTGATTAGTTTTGATTTGAAGTGTATTATGTCATAAAATAGATATGTCTGCTGGATTTTTAGTGGTTTGCTTAGACTTTCCCCCATTCATTTACCCTAAGGTGTACTATATTTTTCATGGTGAGCTGTGTCTTGGAGAAAGCAAAACCATGGATCCTGTTTGCTAATCTAACCTGCTAGTCTTTGACGTTTTGTTAGCTGTGGGGAAAATCATTGAGTTATTATTTACCGGTGTTTATTTCTGTTGTGGTGGTTTCTCAGACCTCTCTTGGTTAACTGTTCTAGGATTGTTTATTTCTTGTGTCCTCTTGGGTGTGTTTAATCATCTCTTCAGACTGACATATCACTGGCAGTATCCTATGCAAAGCTGTCTTAGTGGGCATTCATGTCAAGTTTTCCTCCTTTGGACAGAACTGACAGTTTTGCTGGGTATAGTAGTCTGGGCCAGCATCTCTGCTCTTTCAGAACTTGTAGAACATCAGTCTGGACTGTTCTGGCTTTCAAAGTCTCCAGGGAACAATCAGATGTTCTTTCCAAGGGTCTGCTTCTGTATGTGACTTGGTCTTCTTCTCTTCTGGCTTTCAACATCCTTTCATAGTTCTGTACATATTTTAATGTTTTAATTATTATGTCATGAGGCATTTCCTTTTTTTGGTTCTGTCTATATGGTGTTCTGTATGCTTCCTGCACCTTGATAATATGATCTCTTTCTTTAGAATTGAGAAATTTGATTTTTGTTAAGTGTGTGTGTGTGCGTGCGTGCGTGCGTGCTTTTGACCTGGGTTTCTTTTCCTTCTATACCTATTATTTGTAGGTTTTTTCTTTTCATAGTATCTCAGATATCCTGGATGTTTTGTTCCTGGGTTTTTTTTTTTTTTATACTTAACATTTTCTCTATATATACCTTTCTGTGTTCTGCCATCTCACTTCCTCTCTCTGCCCAGCTACATCACTTCCTCTTTCCATCCAGCTCTATCACTTCCTGTCTGTCTGTACAGACCTCCAGACCACTATGGTTAACTAGTGCTGAGACTAAAGGCACTCCTGGCTCTGTTCCCACTGTGGCCTTGAACTCAGAGGTCCGTATGAATCTCTGCCTCCCGCATGCTAGGATTAAAGGCATGTGCTACCACAGCCTGACGTCTATGTTTAATATAGTGACTGGCTTTGTCCTCTGATCCAGAGGCAAGCTTTATTTGTTAGAGCACAAATAAACTACCACCACACCTGGGGTTTTCATTTCAAGTTTTATTCCAATTTGGCTTTTCTAAAGAGAGTCTCTCTTTACTAAATTCTATTTTCAAATCTTCTTTCCGTTATTTTATTAAAATGTTTTCAGGGTCTTCATCCAGGCATTTATTCATATCCTTTTTTTGAGACCCTTGAACCTATTTGTAATTTTGAAGTCCTTATCTTGGGTGTTGGCTAAATTGCTTTTCTCAGGAAATACTACAGGGGTATTGGGGGAGTTATTAAGGCAACTCCACATAGTTAAAAGGGAGGTTTATTTTGGGGGGTAACTTACAAGTAAAGGGATAGGTTACAGGGTCCGGGAGAGGTGAAGTGCAGTCCGGCGGTGTTCTCTGAAGAACTCTGCTCGGTCTACCATCCAGCATCCAGGATTACCAGGAACCAAGAGAGCCAGCACATCCGGATCTTGGGTCTTAAGGGCTCCAGTTTCAGCCCCACCTCAGGGGCAGGCCATAGGTAGGCATGACAGTTACTGGAAGCCTCAATAGGGGGGTAGTACTTCCAGATCAAAGCTGGAACAGCTACCCACTACAATGGGGGTGTTGGATTCTTGAGGAGACGTATTGATAATTCATGTTTTTTTGCATGGGACTTAGGCATTTAGGGTTAGTTGGTGGTGTTTGTATGGATAGATAGGAGCTCATCTTTGTTGGCTGGGTGGGTGTTTGGATCTTGTCAGGGTTACGGAACAACTGTAGAATGCTTAAGTTTTCAGTCTTGGGCCACTTTGGGGTCTTGGTTCAGATGAGCAGTGGGTAGGGTGGCTGATAGTTGTGTGGGCAGGTGGAAGAATTGGCTCAGATATCCATAGCTGGGACTCCCTATGGGGCTCCATGTGGCCCTAGAGCTCAGCTAGTGGGGTGGCTGATGGTCAGGAGGGTGACTGGTCTCTGATGGTTTCTACCTGGAATTGTGATTTGGATGCCACAGTCCTAAACTAGCATAGTCATAGGGATAACTGATAGGTGGATGGAGTAGCTGGGGGAGGGAGCTGGCTCCTGAGGTCTCTCCATGGAGTTCTAGCCAAGAGGTGAGCGGGATGGCTGATGGATGAGGGAAGGGGACTAGCTCTAGAGGTCCCTTACTGGGGTTCCAAGCCCAGCAGTGGGTAACAGGCAGTCAGAGGCTCCTAAACGGGGCTCTGGGTCAGGCTCTGCATGGTCCCCGGTTGTTGCAGTAGGTGGGTTGGCTGATAAGAAGGTGGAGGAGACACTGCTCTGGGGTCTCTAACTAGAGTTCAGGATTGGGTTTCATGTGAATGGCCAGTAGGTGATGGAAGGTGGGCTGCAGAAAACTACTTTTTCTTCTCCATCTCTTTCCTAACTAGTGATTAAAACCCACTGATTAAAACCAGACTGTTCATTCCTATCTTTTGTGAATCCTATTGTCTGCCCTATTCTCCTGTTGGGGTGATTTCCTTAGTGACTTACAGTAGTTGTTTATAGTTTAGGGCTTTAAAGCTTCTCCACTTCTCTACGTACAACCATTTTCCTTACATTTGCTGCCTGGAGTTCTGCTTGGATTCCTGAACTGGAACAAACTCATTTCCCCCTGAGCTACTGTTCCAGAGAGGTGTTCAATATGTGAGCTGGAAGGAGGAACCGAAGCCAAGTGTCATTTAAAAGTCAACAACAGTTCTGACTTAAAAATCTGATCTGGGAAGGGAGAAACAAGAGAAAAAGCAGCTGAAGCTGTGACTGAACCAGCCACAACTTTTCGTGACACCTTCGAAGGGTAGGGTAGTTAGAATACTGTGTGACCACAAATCAGTCCCTGAGTCTGTTGTACCCAAAAGGTCAAAAATGACAAGAGTACCAACCACTTCCTGTAGCTATGAAGGTGACATAAAGAACTATCCAGAAATACCAGTTACAGGCAATACCTATCAAAGATGGAGTGATTCAAAAATATTTATTTTAACAGTAAGTACAAATGTGAATTCTAGTATAGATTCATGCTAGCTTCAGAATTATATCAAATTTTGAAACACAGATTATAAGAATAACTTTAGAGTCATCTTTTTAGCACACAAGCTTTTGAGCTTCACACAAGCCAGCCAGCGTGCTGTCTTCAAAGTTGTATTTATGTGGTAGAGACACACGTATATAAAAGGATTAGGAGGTGTGGCCTTCTTAGAGGAAGCATGTCACTGTAGCCCAGGCCATGCTCTGCCTCTGTGGATCAGGATGTAGATCTCGGCTACTTCTCCAGCACTGTGTCTGTCTTCATGCCATGATGATACTGCACTTAAACCTCTGAACTTTGGAGCAGGCCCCCAATTAAGAGCTGCCTTGGTCATGGTGTCTCTTCACAGTGATACAACATTGAGTAAGACAGCATGCAGAGTAGGGTGGAGGAAGGAGGAGGGGCTTGCAGAACAGAGGAAGGAGTAAGTTTTGACTGTAAGTATATGCTAGTGTTCTTTGGGTACCACTACCGTCTGCTACTCCCTTGGGGACCTTCACTCATACTCATCTCCCCTCTTTCCCAGAGTCCCAAGCATCTTATCTCTCAGATTTTTTTTTAAATTTTAAATTTATTTATTATGTATACAGCATATATGGCTGCCGGCCAGAAGAGGGCACCAGATCTCATTACAGATGGTTGTGAGCCACCATGTGGTTGCTGGGAATTGAACTCAGGACCTCTGGAAGAACAGTCAGTGCTCTTACTTAACCTCTGAGCCATCTCTCCAGCCAATCTCTCAGATTTTTCCCAAACAAACCCAGGTCTTTCTAGTTTCACATTTTCCCCAAAACGAATCTACCAATTCTAAGTAACATTTTTTCCCCTTCAAGTTTGGAATGCATAATTAAAAAATAAGATAACAATAGTGGTTTCATCAAAACCAGTCTATAACTTAAACTGCTTCCTCTGTGCTGTGCTTCTTACTAGTGAAAGGCACCCCAGTGACTAATGTCTGTTTTGGATATCTGTAATCTCTCTAACACGTTTGTCCTATTTTCTATGACATAGTATAAGATGAGGATAATTATTATTTTTACAGTATTGGAGATTGAGTTTAAGGTTTCATCCATGCTAGACAAATGCTCTATCAATGTACCAATCATATTCCCCAGCCCCGAGCCCAAAAAGTGAACTTCTGAAGCAACCTAATTTAACTTGAAGCCAAATGAGATTAGAAGATACATACATACATGTATATGCATATAGGACTGGGGATGAAATATAGTTGTGGTTCTAAATAAGGATTTCTTAATGGGGGGTGTATTAGTACCGGAGAAGGCGACATCTACAAACTTCAATTAGAAAAGTTAAATCTTTGTTTTCCATGAAACCAACATTTCCTTTCATTATGAATGAAGACATCATTGTTTTATAGCCATAACTGATTTTTGTATTATCAGTACCTTTATCTTTGAGAACAGTGGATGTTCTTACAACATACACTCTCTTTGCTGAAGATGCTAAGTAGTTGATGCTCAGCCCTACTTTGAAACTGACTGTAATTATCAGATCCCTTGCTATCTTATTTTTTTTTTGGGGGGGGGGGATAGATGCACGTGTGCAGGTACAAATGTATGTGTTGGTATGCATGGTTTTAATTTTTTTAGAATGGTTCATGTTTGAGTGTTTTACTTGCATGTTTATATGTGTACCACCTATGTACCTGGTGCCTTCAGGGGTCAGAAGAGGGTGTCAGATCCTTTGGAACCCAAGGTCAGGCATCATGGATTGTTGTGTGAGCCATCATGTGAGTGCTAGGAACTGAACCCAGGTTCTCTGAAAGAGCAGGGGCTTATAACCAATGAGCCATCTTTCCAGCCCCCCATCCCTATCCTCTACATACAACACATACACAATCCCTTGTTTCTGAGATACTATTCACTGGAACCTGGGGCTCACTGATGAGGCTAGGCTGGCCAGCCAGTGAGTTCCACGGATCCACCTACCTGACTCCCCAAAGCTAGAACTTGAAAACAAACACTGCCATTCCTGGCTTTGTAGTAGGAGCTGGGAAATGAACATGGGATCTTCATAGATGCATGGCAGGCACTTTACTGAGCTCTCCCCATCCATCCCTTCGATCCTCTATTACGCAGTAATTGTCAGTTACTATTCATATCACATTGTTTATATGCAAATGGATTGTTTCTAATTTTCTCATCTTTTTCTTTCTGGAGGTCATTACCCCAGCCTAATAGTGTATGTAGTAAAAACTATGGTGACCCGGGACAATGAAAATATATACAGTGTAACTGTTTTCTAGGATAGGCAGTGTTTGGATGGAAGTAATCATATCGGCTATGGGTTAGGTAGAAAAGGCCCAACATAAGACATTTCTAGATTTCTGACGCATATATATAAACTGAGATCTTTGGCAAGCTATTAATCTCCCAGATCTTCAGTTGCCCTATTTGCTAAACAGAAACAAAAATAGTTCTTTCTCCGAGTTATCATAGTTAGATAAGATGGTATAAATTATACAATACTCATAGACACTAGGACATAACATGAACCCTCCAAATATTAGCAACTCTCCCCTCGCTTCCATCTCTACGCAGTTTATTAGCCTCCCGAGTCTTTATCCATCTTACTATTCTGGGTTTGGTCAAGCATTCCGAGTAAAGCACAATGGCATTGGAGGGCCCTTTACTAACAGTCTTCTGCTTCACAGAGGAAACTACCCAACGTGGCCATATAAGCGAGGAACCACTTGCAGTGATTGTCCAGAAGATGACAGGTGTCTCAACAATCTCTGCAGTAAGTAAGAAAACACGAAAAACTTTCCATAGAATTAAGGTTTAAGTATTTGGCTTATCCTTGTAGTTAGAGAGCTGTAACAAACCAATAGTTTACTGTTCTGGGACCAAACATAGGCTTGCAGGAGTGTCCTTTAAGAGGTCTATCCCCCCTGGTATGAAGGGAATCTGAAGCTACTACAGTTATGCCAATCCCATGGTTCTTCTGTGCCACATCTGCAGCAAGCTGCCTCATGGGGTGCTTAGAAAGGAAGGGGATAGTAGTCCATGCTTCACTGCATGAATCCTGTTAGGGAGTGTGTTGTATACACAATTTTCAAGGTCCCTTCCAGACCTAAATTCCAGTAAACTGCTCCCCTTTCCCCCATTTAAACACTGAACTTTTCAGGCATGAAATCGCACCTGACCCATTTTTCTCCCAATATATATATTTTTTATTCATACTAGCAGCAGCATCAGGAAACTCGAAAATATGTACCCATATGCAGTTAATTTCTTCTCAGAACCAAGGCACTAAAAGTACCAGTCTAATGTACAGTTCTGAGACCCTGGCCATCCTCTGTATCCATTTCCTCAACAGTAAAATGTACGACACTACCACCTCATAGAGCTGAGTGTAAACCATTCAGTGAACTGTCAATATCTGCCACAACACAAAAATGCTGCTGGTGTTTTAGTTCTGAACCTTTAAAAATAGAACTTGAGATGGTGTCTATGCTTGACAAAACTGAGATTAACTATACTCCAATAGTGAAAACCCTGGACTGAAGTGAGAAAGACACACACACTTGCATGGTACATACAAGACCATTTACTTTAGATGACTTAACCTCTAGGTTGTCACTCATTTTTCTAACTTTTTAAATATAAATATAGGCCTATTTGAAAAGCATTGCACTTTCTTCTGTACTAATACTAAATAATAGTGTTTCCAATTGACAAAACCATCCCATCTTTTATTGTGAGGTTGAGAAGGGTAAAGATTGTAACATAAAAGCTTTCATTTAACAGAACCTATCTGACAAATTATAGTTTGTCATTCATTATGCAAGACTGCCATGCCAGTACTTGGGACATACTCATGGTACATAAGGTAGTTTTAGCTAGTACGTGGGTGTCCATTTGTTTCTGGGGTTGAATGTTGATCTATGCCTCTGCAGATGCACACGGGGGAAAAAAAGCTAGAAACACGCTGCAAATGCATGGTATAACTGTCAAGGCAGCTCAGGTGTAATGACCAAAGATGATCGCAAGTACCCAGAACAAGTCCCAGGTGGCTCCATCATGGGCATTCAATAGCAATCCATGTAAAAGCTTCTAGAATGCCAAAGCAATTGGGGCACTTTTCTTCCCTAGTGCTCTGAATATCAAAATCTGAAGCTCAGAAGAAGATATAATTATGACTTTTAATAAGCCAGATGCCCCACAAACAGTATCTACCATTCTTCTCTGGGAAAAGCTTAGAAAATAACTTTAATTGCATCATTTAAAACAAATCATATTTTAACCTTTAGTTTCAACCATAGCTCAAAATAAGATTCATCAGGTGGTTGTGGCATATTAAACAATTTTTCCATTAACTGATAGAGTACAAAAATTCATATTAAGTTCATATAAAAATACTGAAAAATTTAAGTTTACAGTTAATAGCAAAAACTTGATTGCTCTTTGAAAATCACTGTCTTAGGGTTTCTATTGTTGTGAAAGGACACCATGACCACGGCAACTCTAAGAAAAACCTTTAATTGGGGTGGCTCAGAGGTTTAGTCCATTATCATGGCAGGGAGCATGGTGGCAGCATCTTTAACAGAAGGCCACAGGAAACATCAAAGCCCACTCCCACAGTGACACCCTTCCTCCTACTAATCATGCCACTCCCTTTGGGGACCATTTTCTTCTAAACCACCACAACCACTGTACTTAAAGCCAAATCAAGTTCATGGTTATAAAGATGTAATTAAAAACATAGCTCCCCTACACCTAACCTTTTCTTCCTTCTGGTTTTACAGTTAACCCACAGAGAGACGCTGTCTCACGTACGTATGCAAACCTAAACTGTTTGACTGGGCACTGGGTGGGCTGGGTTCGCCCATGAGAAACTAAAAGCACACTCTGTTTGTTTCCCAGGTTACTACTCTGTTGACTATCCAGAATGGCCCATATATCTACGTAACAGATACACATCTCTCTTTCTCATTGTTAAATCAGTACTTCTAATACTGTCTGTTATAATTACCATTTTGGTAAAGCACAAATACCCTAACTTAGTTCTTGTGGACTAATGCCATCAGTGGGGGACTACTTATTCCTAAGTGGCTATTTTAAAATATTTAATAGAGCCTTAGAACTGTGGAGTTTCCTAAGTCTACAAAGAGTAAACTCTCCTTTCTACTTGATGAATAAGGACTGTCTAGGTTGCCACAGCTAGGCTTTCAGCAACAGACTGCCTGCCTGTGGCTCAGAGCTGCAGAACACACCTTTGATAATTATTATAAATCCAATTGCCCTCACAGCTCCCAGGTTGAGAATACTTGCTGCTCTTGGGGAGGACCTGTGTTTGAGTCCCAGCACTCACATGGTGCCTCACAACCACCTCTAGTTCCAGGGGAGCCGATGCCTGCTTTTGGCCTCAGTGGACACACTGCATACATGCAGGTTAGATGCCCACATACGCTTTTCTGGTACCATTTCCTCATAGTTAGGATAATATTTGGAGTCCTGGTTTTTCTGTTTGTGGGTGGTTTTGTCCTGGAATAAAATAAAGTCAAAACAGTTGCCATTAGCACTAGAAAGGACACATTTATTTTCCTCAAAACCAAAGGCTTTGGTTAGTCTTTATAAAAACACCCAATGGCAACAGACATTGGATTTGATAATCAATAAAAATCTATATAATTTAAAAGAGGTATTCCTGAAATGATGTCTAGACAAAACCGCCTGGGACTGACCAGGCACGATGTATCTACCACTATCTTGCACAAACTTGAGAATACATATGAATGTATTTACAAAGGATATGTCCATCAACAGACGAAACTCTGATCATGATTTTCTGAGCATGACTACTTCCAGGTAAGGCAAGGAGAGTCGTCTCAAAATCCTTTACAAAAGGAAACACCTTCCCAAGTTCAGGTCCAGCTTTTTTCCCAATGTTACTTTTTCCTCTTCTGTTTCTTTTCATCAGCCTCCATCTTAAGCTTAACTTCCTCCGCTGTCAGTGCGCCCAGTTTCTTGGCCTTTGCTTTCTTAACCTTTTCCTTGATAGCCGCCACATCAATCTTAGTTTCAGTAAAAGCTGCAAAATTTTACAAGAAAATGTGCAAAATTCAAATTATTTTTAACAATTTAAAAAAGACCTAAGAACTTCAAGTTGAGGAAACAAATCACAGATGAAATGGTATGATGGTATATTGAATTCAATTCTTTGAGTAGTCATTAGTAAGCCAATTTTCTACACTATGTACGAAATAATTTAAAAGTGCATTCCATGAAAAGTATTAGGTATAGTCCTTCTAGCTTGAGTAATTTTATGTAACATGATTTTGTTATGTGAGAGCATCTGGTGATCTTAACAGGCCAAAATATCTTATTGGTGCTGAACTAAATATAGAAAACAATTCTAAAAGGATGCACCTTTTTCTTATAATGGTACAGTTTTCAAACCATCAAATAGTCCAGACAGTGGAAGTGGAGACATTTTCAGCCTCCACTCTGAGGCAACCATTGGTGTACTACCACAGTACTTAACCACTGAAACTTACTTTAAAAAATAATTATCCATGCCCACCCCGCGTGCCAATGTTGCCTTTGGAGGGTGGTTCTGACACGTGACACCAGAGGCAAAGAAAACGGAGAGGGTGGATCAGAATGAAGACTTTCCTGATGGTTGCTTCAGGTGATGAAGTACATGCTAACACAGAAAGGGGCTGCTAAGCCCAGCTGGGAAAGGCCTCTGAGGCATGGCAGTAGTGACGGCTCTGGGTTTAAATCTCTTCAATAAGAATCCAACCCCAGCACAGGGCAGAGGTTGCGGGGTAGGACCCGAAGCCACAGCAAATTCTAAAGCCTTGACTACCCGTCCCTTTTGTCTAGGTCTGGGAGCCGATGAGACCACAGTTGTTCTTAGTGTGAACGGACACGCCCTGGGGGTTACTTGCCTGCCTTGGGCTTCACAGCTGGCTTTTCTTTAGGTGGAATAAAGGCCTTGTTTCTTTCCTCCTGCCTCTTCGTCAGAGCTTCTGCTTGCTTGGCCTAGGCAGTGAGAGACGCCTTAGTAAACACGAGTGATCGCCAGCTTCGCTGTGAATGTTGTAAGCCATCTTAAAAGCCTTACCTTTATGGCTTCCATTTTCTGCCTCTTCTTCTGATTCGCCTTCAGAAAGTATTCACCACTTGCCAATTCTTTATCAATCTATTAGTGACAGTATTTATAGTTAGATCAGAAATAATATAGATGACAGGAATTTCCTAAGAAAGTCACGGTGTCCTGCGGTAAAAGCTGTGGAATCAGTACTCTAATTAGCTGGCCACACAAGGCGGAAGTGTCAGCTGAGGCCAATACAAACCCGGAGACAGGACATCACAAAACCCATGAATTCAGGTAGGACCAGAGGTCAGGGTTTCAGAGAAGAGTGAAAGGAATCAGATGAGTTTGGGGACGGTGGGTGGGGCCTGAGACTCCAAGAAGGTGGAACCGGACTTAGAAAGGATTGACGCTATAGCACAAAAGAACAGTGAAAGGATCTAAGCCAGGTGTGGCTGTGCATGCCTTTGGTCCTAGCACCCAGAGAAGCTAAGGTAAGAGGGAGGAATTCAAGGCCAGCCAGGGCCACAGGGCCAGACCCTGTCGCAGAAAGGTAAAAAGAGGACCCAAAGTCACTATCTCAATTCTTGTAGTTTGAACCTCATTAACAGTTCCTTGAGATTGGTATCATTACCTCATTGAGGAATGAGGAACTGACCCATGAACAGGTCGGATAAAATAAGCTGCTCATAGTTACAGAAAGGGGTATGAGGACAAGTCCAGGGAGGCACTGCTGTTTAAGAAACAAGTCAGCCAAACGGAGGTGCCTGATAAAGACGAGCCAACAGGTGTATAACCCTGTTTTGGGGTGAATGAGCATGAGATAGAGTGAAGTAGTATAATCAAAACCCACAACAGCAGCCCAAGGAAACAAAATACTCCGAGCATCTTGGCTACTGAGCAAGGGGAGAAAACACTTCCGCTCTGCAGGGATATGGATGCAAGAACGGCCAGCAAATTCCGTGCAGGGGGAGGCAATCCTCACTGGAGTTTTACGGCTCACTAAGGTAAAGAACCTGAAGTTTGTACACTAGCCTGGCAGTACCAAGGGCCTGATATTATTTCCCAGGGCCTACAACCTTAGGAAGGGACCGATCTAGGGACCACAAACACTGCACACTATCTCTGCCAACCACAGACACTCCACTGAGCTGATGAACACAGCATGGCCCAACAGAGTAACAATGACCCATGCTTGCTGAGTGTCTTGTAGTGTGAGGAATGAGTGCTGTGATTGATGGGGAACTGCTCCCCACTTCAAGTTCTCTATCTCTTCAAGTATGCCCCAGGAAACAGGGTATAGCCAAAATTTCGAATTTAAACTAGTGCTAGGACCGGAAGTAAGCACCTAAGCAGTTCCTGCTATCCTAACCCACCCTTGTTTACCTGTCTGTCACTGATAGGACAAAAAAACTATAGTATTTGCTACTGTTCTTCCAACACGGACACAGAGGGGCCCTAGAGCAGCTATGGCTGGACCATCTCAGGCTGAGCTGCCCCACGGTGGAAAGTCACTTTGCTGGACTCCAGCTTTCCGATACATACTGCCATCAAAGGAGAGCAGAACCATCACTGTTCTGCTTCAACACTGTCCCCCCCTCCCTCCCTGTGGGAGGGGGGCCCCAGTGTGAGTGTCACAGAGGGGTCCTAAGGTTCCTAACACCCTTCCTGTGGCACTGCTAGGCCAACACTACTGACCAGTCTGACCAATCAATGGGCAAGTGCTCCAGCCGTGAAATTACAGGTGGCACCATCAGACACTATAATACCCGTTTCATCAATGAACAGATAATCCAAACAAAAAGTGAACCCATACTGCAGCTCAAATAGATGCTTATAGAACATATCCAATAGCCACAAAAGACCTAAAGACATGCTTTCATCAAATAAGTTTCTCTATAATAAACCAGATTAGGCTACAAAACAATCCTGAGAAATTTAAAAAAAAAAAAATAGTATCCTATAACATTATGGAATATAATTAAAAATCAGCAACAAATATTTTAGAAGTTATTCAGGTGCATGGAAAATTTGTGAAGGAATATTTAAGAATTTGTTGAAATGAAATATAGGCTGGGTGTGGTAGAGCACTCCTTTAATCCCAGCACCCAGGAGGCCAATGCAGGCAGCTCTCTTGAGTTTGAGCCAGCCTGGTCTCAATAGTTTCAGGACATCTAGGACTGTGTGTTTCAGCTCCCACCCGCCACCCGTTGCAAAAGTGAAATACAACACAGCAAGGCCGTGGGAAGCAATACTGAGAGGGGAACTCCGACTACACAGCAACCTCAGCAGAGGTTAAATAAGGAGGCAACGAGTCCTCACTGTGGATGGCTTCAAATCAAACCCCAACTCAGGGAGGGAAGGAAAAACTACAGCAGAAGTAAAGCCCAAAGAGCAGCAGGCCAATGGCCAAAGAGCAGCACTCACCAAGACAAGAGGTAAGGCTTGAGTAGGAAGAGGGCGTATCAAAGCCAGCGTTAACTAAACACAACTGCACAACCACATGTTAATTACAAAAGCTGAAGGAAAACCACTCCAGACATCTTAAAACAGAATGAAGAGAGTCACCTCAATAGATACAGCAAAAGCAGTTAATAAAATTCAACATAAAAGTTATAAATGAGAAACCCAGAGTCAACACCACACTGTGGAAAACTCAGAGAATGTTCTGTGAGACCAAGAACTAAAGAGGTCTACTCTGGTGCTTTTATTCAACAAAGCACCAGAGGTGGTAGCCACAGCAACTGGGCATGAAAAAAGGCAAACAAATGACCGTCTACAGATGTAATTAAGTAGAAAAAGCTAAGGACTCCACCAAAACACTATTACTAAACTGATGAATGAACTCAGAAAAGACACAAAGTCAGCATACAAAGCCATTAGCTTTTCCATACCCCAGTAACAAATCTGCTAACTTCAAGGGTCTCCAATCTTTTCATATTACAACATGACCCTTGTCTACAAATGCAGTGGGCCACATTCCTGGCTATCGTGGGAAACATGACCAGTCTGGGCAAGGCCTGTAACACACATGTGCACACACACCAAGAAACTCCAGAAAATAAAAGACCTCTACAATGAAAATTATAAAACACTAATGAGAGAAACTGAAAATACAGAAAGATAAAAGCATCTCCCTGTAGTGGATCAAGGAATTAATACTGATGAGTGCCCATGCTACCCACAGCAACCTATGACATCAATGCTCTTCCCAGATGGGAAAAAGCTATCCTTAAGCTCACAGGAAGCACAGAACTTAAAAGAGCCAAAGCAATCTTGAGAAAAAGAAAAGACGGAGGCATCTCACTTCTCTATTCCAGGACCTACCACAAATTCACACAAGTCTAAACAGCATGGTACACTGGCAGCCCAGCCCCACTCTCATTTCCCATAGGGTCTCACTTTCCTGCCTTCCCAGAGGAGATGCCCTGCCTGGCATTCCCATTTTCTCACCATGATCTTCACACTCTAA